ATAATTGTAATACATTTATTTATCATCACATACAATAACAAAAAGATTTCATAAAATTTAATCAATGAATAGAAAGTTTCCAAATATGTATTTATTTTACTTACAAGATTTAAATAATCCAATTTCTAGACAGACATGAAAGTTTTATATCATAGTTATTATAATAAAGTTCGTTATAAATATAAATTGAATTATATATATATAAACAAATTATGTGTTTTTACCATCGGAGATTGATCACTGGAACATTGACCAATAGAATTCACAAGTGAATAAGTTTCTGGCGGACAGTCTTCTTCTGAAGTAATACTTGTTCTACCAATTGGTAATGCTGTAGACACGCCTACAGTGCTTGTAACTCCTATGACACTTCCACTACTCATTGAACCAGCACTAGGCCGTAATACGTCAGGTGTACTGCTTCTTGTTCTACTATCACAGTCACCAATCTGAAAATATCAATATAAATGTCAATATCAAAATTAAAAAACTTTAATATTAATCTTTCAGTGCAATACCTTTTAGCATGTATTTAACACATAGTGAAGTATATTATACATACTAAGTTTTTATAGCTTCTTGACAATGATTCAATTACTTCATCTGTTATTCTGTCGGATACGTGTGCAGCAACTGCCAAATTTAATTCACTATGAAAAAATAAAACACATTAGTGATCATTTAACATGTAATGTATAGAACGTCAAAATGAATAAGTAATTATGATTCATACTTGACTCTATTTACTATATCTGCTCCAGCTTGTTCTGTGATAGTAGTATGTATGAATTCATTACTAATCTGATTCTTTTCCTTGCAACTATTTCGTAGATCATCTTCCACTGCAACTGATTCACTTTCATCGCCTCTAATTACCGTTTGTGAAAGTATCGTGGGACATTGTTCATTTGCACACTTTATCATAGCATCTAAGGAATCCTGTATTTAAATTTTAATGATTAAAATTTATTATGTCTTGCATGAGAATAATATACATATATTTAATAAAAAAAATACCTGTAAATATATAGTTACAACTTTATGTAACTCATTTGCCATTTCGTGTAATTTCAATTCTATAGGATTATTTTCGTCTCGTCGTTGAAGAACTTCATGTAATCTCGGTAAGAGCTAAAAAAATATCATTTGCGTAAAAATTTATTAAAAATTTATTTATTATTCAATATTTTATACCTGTTTTGAATTATCTGCATCCTGTATAAGTCCAGTTGCATAATTAATGTCATTATTGGCATCACAGCTTTCTGCAGCAATAGCTTTAATAGTGTCTTGAGTTTGTACAACCAATCTATCGACCATTTGTTGTGTAGAGCTTAGCAAAAATCCCTGTTGTAATCTAAATGCTTGTCCATGACTATATTTACATGGTGTAACATTTCTTTGTAACAAATCTTGAATTTTTTTAGCTAATTGTTCAGTTTTTTCAGCTGAAGTTTTCATACATGGTTGTAAATCATAAATTGGAAATGGCATGTGTCTTACACTACAATTCCTATAAGAAGATATTATACATGAGAAAAATATATCAACATTTTATTATTAAAGTTAAAAATTACATACTTTTCTAAAGCATGAACAATATCAGCATAACCTTGAAGAGTGATATTATTTTTGTCATAAATAATAGTCCGTAAATGATTATTAATTTGTAATGCCTTTGCTAATAATCTGGCACCAGGATCTCCAATTTGATTACCACTAATATCTAAAGTATGAAGACAAGTATTACTACCAAGGGCATTGATAAGGTTATAAAGATCAGATTTCAATCGAGAATCTGGTAAATGTAATGCTTGCAAAACGCAATCATCTTCTTGAAGCATTTGCACAAGGGCATCCATTACCACAGCAATATGTTTGCTTTTCATACTAACAGTGTTCCGACCCATATATAATTGTTTGATCGATTTGTTTTTTCCTACAGCAGTTATCACTTGTGCTAAATCAACATCCATATCTGTGAAAAGACATATACAAGCTATAAAATTCAAATATTAATATAACTAATTTACTTTCAGTACTTACTGCTATCTGATATATCCAATGATGCTATACAACGTACACCATGAATGCATGATTCCAGTACATGAGCACCCATAGAGCCCAAATTGTTTCCACTCATATCAAGTTCTAAACCAACTGTACTTTCATTACATGCCAAACCAAGTAACAAGTGTTTCAATGCTTCTAGCGGCAATTTACAACAAGATATATTTAAGTACTTTAATGAAAGTGTAGCTGTAAAGAACTGTTTAAAGCTGGGAGGTATTTCTTTGGTCTTTTTACTTGAAAAAGAGTTGCGAGCAACATTTAAATGGACTAGATTAGTTGCACAACCCCGTAGTAGAGCACCAAACAGCTGAATAGGATAAATGCAGAATATGAAGTTTATTTATATTGGAACTTTATATATAGAAAATTAAAACTTACACATTCTAGCGTTGTATCTGTACCACTTAGATCTAAATGAGTTAGACTATTAGGTTGTGCCAAAAAATTACATAAATTCTGCAAGTATATAATAATTATATTATTTACTTATACCTAATATATCATTAACACAACTACTTGTTATATTAAATTTTACAATGATATTTAAAAACTTACATTGATGTCATCTTTTAAACAGTTCTCTGAAAGATTTAAATATTGCAAACTAGTTGGCATGCTTCTATTTAAACTTAATGCATGTGCAATTTGACTTATTCCTTTTCCAGTTAATCCACAATGTGCCAAATTTAATTTTTGTAAACCCTTAGGCAATTTTCCGATAGGTCCACTTAAATGTGCACCTCCTTAAAAATAATATTATCCTAAATAATGTTATTGATAAAAATAGATATACATGTACTAATTCAACATATTTAATAATAATACTACAAATTAATATTAATAAATGTACATTAATTATAAATTAATATAGTAAGTTAAAAAATTATATACTATCAATTTTATGAAGAATATTGAAATTATGAATGCAGGATTGCTTTTAAAAATAAGGAAAAACAAATATCATTAATGGTTATTTGCACACCTTGTAATTTGGCTATTATTCCACACAAGCTAGAGGCTCCTACAAAAATATTAAAAAAAAAATATTGTATAGGGATACTTCGAAAATAAAAAAAAAGAGAATTGAAAATAAGAAAAATGAATCTACTAAGGAAAAATATTTAAAATAAAAGTCTTTATAGTTAATACTTGCCTTTATCTTCAATTGTATTATGTGACAGATCAATAGTCTGTAACATTGTATTAGCATTAGAAATTAGAGCTAATGATAATTTGTGTGCAAAATCCCTAAAAAGAAAAAAACACATTTAATTTATTATCTCATAATATCTTGTTCAAATTATTTTCACAATATTAATATATTTATTTTATCTTTACCATTTGATTCCAAGATTATCTAGATAAAGTTCCTGAATGGAAAGAGATCTACGCATAACATGTAACAATCTTTCCAAAGGTTCATGACTTAGTTTAAGATGAGATGCCCTCAATTTTGTAAACCAAGTATTATATTCCAAGGCGGAAATGATTGGCACCAAATCTTTTTGATCTAAATGATCAAAATCTCTTAAATTTAACTCTCTTGTATCATGAGAAAGGTATATTGTATCAACATCCTATAAATATAATTTTTTTGAGAAATACTCAACAATAATAGTAGTACATCTTCATATACTTTAACAAATTACCCAGGCTACTTCTTCTCTATATGGTACACCGTGTAAATCACACATACATGCATATTGGGTTGAAAACCCCCCACAAGGTCCAGTATGTCTTGTTGCTTCTGTACTTCTAGCTAATTCACTACCTCTTATACTTTGCAGTCTACTAGCTGGTATTACTTCTATTTTTCTTATAATATAGCTATAATAAAAATTATAATTTTAATATCCGTTATTTCAATGTTACTGTTGTAACATTGAAATAAATATAACAGAAAAAATAAATATAAGATAAAAAAAAAACACATACTTTAATGGTACAGTGGGAAAGATATTTCGAATTGCAGTATGTAAGGCCTCAATCATTGCATCTACTTCCGTAGTATCTGCACCTGCTCCTGTGGTAGTAAAATTGTAATATCTTTCCCCAACACTTAAAGATAACTGATTCGCTCTTTTGGACTCTATAGATGTTATTTCTAAATAATGAAAATGGCAGTCGATCTGTAAGAAAATAATTAAATAAATCAAAAAAATCACACAGCTTATTCGTAAAAACAAAATAATCTATCATCTTACTCTTGTGGGTACTTTGGCCGTTAAGAGAAACAAACGGCATGGTGAAAAAACCTTAAATCAAAATAACAAAAATTTAATTTTTCATTAAACTATTACACTGACAACTTCAAATTTACTTTGTATTGCAATATCTTAATACTAAAAATATCACTTACCAAAACACGATTTTCCTGTTTATCTTGTTTCGTTTCCAATTTTACAACATTCTTTAACAATATCTTTACATGCTTACCCAGTAACGCTTTCACCGATTCTACAAATAATAAATAATTCATGAAAAGTTACACTTTAAGTTAAAAGCAACTTGCAAAACGTGCAAAATTAATGAGAAGATTTACAAAATTCTGTTGCAATCCATTTTGCACACTTATGAAATAAAATGGAGACTAAAGAAATTTTTAGAAAGATCCTTAGAGAATAACTTAATTTAACGAAAATGTTCTTTTTTTTAACGTATGACAGTTCTACGATACGAACGTAAACATTCAATAGAAGACAAACCGTTTAAATCTTTCGTAAGCTGCGATCTAGTTGACATTTTGTTAGCTGGTTTATCTTTCAAACATCGATGAATCCATTCAAGACATTGTTGTTTCCGTCACACGGTGACCAAAGTTTTCTAACTTGCTTAAAAAAATGTTAAGATAAAGGGCGATGTCACGAAACTATGAAGCTGCATAGCCGCCATATTAGCACCTGCCCGCAGTCCATTCTGTTCCATTCCAGTCCGGTCCGTTCCGTTCTGACAAGTGTATTTCTTTTTTTAAATCATTTTTTATAATCATGTCATTTGGCATTTTTAAATCATCTCGTAGAGTGATACAGTAAAACAACGTTATCGCTTACTTGATCGTTATCACACATTTTATATGTATAATTAATACATGTAAGTAATACTGAATTGATTATTAATAGGTACATATCCTACATATGTTGTATTAGATAATTAACATTCAATTACAAAATCTCATAGAACGATATTTCAGTAGTTTATAATCCATAATAAATAGAAAAATTAAGTAAATTCATTTAAATTTGTATCTGTACGCGTATATTATTTTATATAATTTCAGAATTAAATCCAAATTTGATTAAATATGCTTGCTGCAAGGACAATTTTGAATTTATTTAGAGGAACGCAAATTTCTCTATTCCAAACATATGCTACAAATACAAAATTAGTCGAAATTACAAAAGATAACACAGGTAATACCATAATCCAAAGTTTCATGAAGCGGTTTTTATTTAATACTATTATCTTACAGATATTGCTATAATTTCAATGGCACATCCACCTGTAAATAGTTTAAACAAAGAATTATTAAATACTTTAAACATGTCCTTAATGGATGTACAGAAAGAGAAATATCGAGGTATTATATTAACATCATCATTACCAAATGTATTTTCAGCAGGACTTGACATAAAAGAAATGTATAATCGGACTGAAAAACAACTAACTGAATATTGGCAAACATTGCAGGATACATGGTTAACTTTATATAATTTGAAGATACCAGTAGCTGCTGCAATCAATGTATTATTTTAAACATTATTAGTAAAATGATTAAGATAATAATGACAATATATACAATTATATTTTTAAGAATATATGAATATTTGTAACTTTATTTATGAAGGGCGCCTGTCCTGCTGGTGGATGTTTATTAGCAATGTCCTGCGAATACAGAGTTTTAGTTGAAGGAAAACATACTATAGGATTAAATGAAACACGATTAGGAATTATTGCTCCTGAATGGTTTAGAAGTCTTTATGTTGACATGATAGGTTATAGAAGAGCTGAAATAGCACTGTTAAAGTAATTATTAATAAATATATAAACATAAAATATTATATTTAATAATATCTATTATTAATTGAAAACTATTGATTTAATAGAGGAACTCTGTTTCATCCAACAGAAGCATTGGAAATTGGACTTGTAGACGAATTAGCTTCTGATAAAGCAAATGCAATCAAAAAGTGTAAAGATTATATTGAAAGTTTTAAACTTATACCGCGTAAGTACATTATTTACTTAATTGATTAGAAGATAAAGACTTTTAATATTTACCATTTAAAATATTTATGAAGGCAAAGGTAGACAATCAACAAAAATGGAATTAAGAAAACGTAATTCGCTATGGTTAAAAGAAAACAGAGCCATGGATCTTAATCAATTTGTAACATTTTCTCAGTTACCAGAGGTACAAGCTGGTCTAAAATCATATATCGAAAGTTTAAAGAAAAAGTAAAAAACTTTAACTATGTTGCTTTTTTAAACCGTTATATTAAATATTTAATATTTTTATACGAATTTTATAGAAGTAAAATATTTTATATAAAAGTATATAGATATATTGAAAGATGTTATATTATTCGATAAATATATATCATTTAGTAAAAATAGTTACTTCTGTATTGATTTCCAAAAGTTTCCACTTGGTATATAATATAATTTTTAAACTGTTATTAACTTATTAATTATATATTATTAAGTCATTCATCAAGTGCTAATATAACTTCTGAATCATCAGTATTTAAATTTAATTGTTGCAATAATTGTGAGAATTCTTGTTGTTGAAAATCCGCGAAATGTGATATTTCTAGTACTTGCTGATTATTTCTTTCTCTCTCATATCTATTAAACCGAAATAAAAATTTGCTATAATTATTATATAAAAAATATAAAAATATATAAAGGAAGAAATAACTTACTTTATTAATTGTTCATTATATTCTTCAAGCCAATTTTTTGCTCGATTTATCATGGTATCTTCTCTAGCATCTATTATCTGTAATGGAAAAATACATGTCAATTTTTAAAATGCAAATGATAGAAATGTATGTAAACGCATATACTTACTTGCAAATGTCTTTCATGAGAATTATTAAGATTATAATTTAACATGTCTTTATCTTCACATAAATTTAATAAATGACGTGGTAACTTTACATCATCCCCAAAACCGCTAAGATAATATAAAATTAATCCATTAATAGTATCATTATATTCTGCTTCACAATTACGTAATTGTGAAAAATATCCTCGTGCAATTGTTAGAAAAGAATCCATCATATCAGACATGTTAATTCTAAATACTTCATTTATATCCTTGTTAAATAAATTTGATATTATTTTCAATCTAATTTTTTTGTAGACAACTCATATTAATTAAAATATACCTCCATTTGTTCATGTAAGTCCACTTCAATAGACATCAATTTTGTCCATGCATCAGTTATTATATCATTAAATTCTTCAGATAACTGATGTGCTTCTTTAGTTATGTTTTCTAATGTAATAGCATCTACATTTCCAGTTAATTTCTTTATCAATTGCTTGATAGTTGCCGAAATATCAGTTTTCTTATGCAAGACTTCATTTACAATCCTATAATTTGAAATAATACAAATTACTATTGATGTTCTATACTTCATATTTGCACAAATTATATATATTACTTACATTCTACCTTGATTTTCTGAAATACTTTTACCTTCCTTTACAGCGATATCATAAAGATTTGTTTCATTTATTCGTTTATCATGTTCTTCCAAACCTATTTCACAAAACTCTTTGCATAAAGCAGAAAAATTTATCTTGTATTCTTCAAATGCATTTTGTGTATCTTCATTTACCATAGACAAATCTTTCCCTTCTAAACATAAGATACACTTGATAAATTTTTATGTGTAAATGTCTATTGTTATATATAAATTCTTATATGTAATTAAATTAAATAATTATATATATAAATAAATTAATAAACCTTTATCATCTTCAAACATTTGATGGAAGAGATAATCATCATCAAGATATTCTACATATGCAGCAGTGAGGAAAGCTAATTTCTTTTTATATTCTTCTTGTGCATCCAGTTCTTCTTTTTCTTTCATTTCTATTTCTTCTAAAGTATTCAGAGTCCTACTAAATTATAAATATATATAATATTATTTTATACATGTGTATGTGTATATACATATATGATATAATATATATATCACATATATGTACATATATATGTATTGTTTAATTACTAATGCTTTTCTCTTGCATTCTTTCTTTGTTCATTAGTAATCATTTTGTATTCATAATAAATTAATTGCGGTATAAATGCAAATACATAATCCAAATATCCATCTTCCTTAGTACATGGATTTCCATTTATATTCAAACTACGTAATTTTTTAAATTTCCTTAAATACAGCACCTAAATGATACTGCATATAAATAAAGGCACGAAAATATAAAATATTTTCATATACAATGTTCCACATATTACATACATACATGTTTCGAATCTGTTACAATATTATTACCAATACTAAAAATTGTTAGATTATTCAAGTCATTTATGTTTTCTATTTCACTAATTTCATTGTTAAATAGAAGTAATATTTCTAAATTTGTTAAATGGTTCAAGTTCTCCATTGTTTTAATACGATTGAAGGAAAGATCTAATTCTTTCAAATTGACAAGGGCATCTAGATTTTCTATCTTTTCAATTATGTTATTGGACAATTTCAATTCTATCAAATTTGGCATCACCCACAGGTAATCGATTTTTAAAATGTCTAAAAGAAGAAATAACACGACAGATGTGTTATTCAACAAGTCGAACAAGCAAATTTTAAATTTACATACTATGTACATACTAAGAAACTCAATTCGAATCTTTCTTGTTTCGTGCAAGTTAATACCGTCTTCGTAAAAGAGTTTACCAGCCTCTCCTTTTGGTCCTTGTTCAATTACCAAGTTTATTAACATATCCTGATTTATTACACGAGGTTGTACAAATTCTTGCAATATAGTAGGAACGTTTTCCTGAATCATCTCTAAATATTTCGTAGATTCTATAGAGAATCAAACATACAATTATATATATCGCTTTATATTGAAGACATTTAATTTGTATTCTTCACTCGGTTGCCGCGCAACACTGATTTATCAATTTCTGTTTTATAACGCTCCTAGTGTTTGATAATGTCATTGCATTGATATAAATATTGATAAAAGATATCTAGAAATTGTATACTCTATGCCAAGAGATTCCTAATTTAATTATCATTGTTAAACTGTAAAATTAAATTATGCTTTTCCTGTCACAAGTTACGAACAAAAAAAAAATTAGTAACGAATTTAATTCTTCGCCAATTTATTTATTAGCTCTTTTTTCCTAAAGAAAAATGTTGCTTCAAACAGAGAGGTGTAGACAGACAGATATTAAAATTCCTATAAGCCTATTTTCAGAGAGTACACGGAATATATTTCATTTCTTTCACATTCGAAAAAGTCGTTAATAAATTTGTCTCGTGTTGGAAACTTTGTTAATCAAGCGAAATAAATGAATTTGCTGTGAATGTTGCGATCCAATCAGAATAGCATTCGCAGAATGTTGTACCTGATTGGTTAGAGTTTCATGTCACTGTATTTGACGTCTGCCTTTATCGTCGTACGGATCATATGATATTGTCACTCTGTATAAGAAGTTTTTAATTTATTATCAAATATATTGTTCCTGTCAAAATTCGTTACGTGCCTTACATATGCACAAGTGAATCAAAGTATTATTATTGAATATAGAAACAGTTTCGTATAACCTGAACAATGTCATTTTTTGGAGTAAATGTCAATCCCTTTTCAACACCAGTAGGCCAGAAGATAGGCAAGTTTCTTTATTTACCTTTTGTAATATCAATAATTGGTTAACGAATTATTTTTTTTTTTTTTTTTACATGAATAGCCATTTGTACATTAATATTAATGAACATGTAAATACTTATAAATTTCTTTCCATGTATATATATGTCTTCAGCTTAATCAGACACATGAATCATAACTTACCTAACACCTTTTATCACAATTAATGTGTTACATCTTTATTTATGTATTTTTCAGAGCAAGCTACAGATGGTAGTTTGCCTAGCGAAAATTGGACACTTAATATGGAAATATGTGATATTATAAATGAAACAGAGGAAGGGCCAAGAGATGCAATTAAAGCAATTAAGCGTAGACTCAATCAGGCTGCTGGAAAAAATTACACTATAGTCATGTATACCCTAACAGTTAGTACTTGTACATTTGGTAATACTTATATTTTTACAAGACATAGGCAATGTTTTAAAATTATTTTATGCAATTAGATGAAATATAAAATATTTATTTTTTAACTTTTTAAATTAATTTTTTAAAGTAATCTATTTTTTTGTTCAGTTAATTGAATTATATTTCAACTATAATTTAAATAGCTAGATTAACTTTTTTTGTTGAGTTTGAGTTTACTTCTATTAAATAACTTATTCATTTCTATTAAATATTCATGAGCATTATGTTAATGAAATGTTATTATATTATACAATTATGTTATGTTAATGAAATAGGTATTGGAGACATGTGTAAAAAATTGTGGAAAACGTTTTCATGCTCTTGCCTGTTCGCGAGAATTCGTACAAGAATTGGTTAAATTAATCGGACCAAAAAATGAACCTCCAGCAGCAGTGCAAGAAAAAGTTTTAAGTTTAATTCAAACATGGGCAGATACATTCCGTCATCAGCCACATACTCAAGGGGTTGTTCAAGTATATCAAGAATTAAAACTAAAAGGTATACAATTTCCAATGACAGACTTAGATGCCATGGCACCAATTATTACGCCAGAGCGAGTAAGAATTTTTCATTATAATATATAATTAATAAATATGTTATAGATGTTTAATTAAATTATTAATATAACTGTAGAGTGTACCTGAGTCGGAACAAAATGTCGTGAATGTACCTACAGCTGAACAACAGTCAGCAACTCCTATAACATCACAAGTCCAACAACCTCAAACTCAATCTTCTGGACAAGTAACTTTATTAAATGAACAACAAATGGCTAAACTACAAAGTGAACTTGATGTTGTGCAAGGAAATATGCGTGTGTTATCGGAAATGTTGGCATATTTTACAAGCTCAGATCAGAGTAATAGTCAACAACCTGATCCTGCAGATCTTGAACTTCTAAGTGTATGCATATAATTATTACCCATTTATCTTATATTTTATTATTTATCTTGTATTATAATAAATTTATTTTATGTATAAATTATAATATTTGTAGGAACTTCACTCTACATGCAAAGCAATGCAAGAGCGAGTTGTTGATTTAATTGGAAAGCTGGCACATGATGAAATGACAGCAGAACTGCTACGTATTAATGATGAATTGAATAATTTATTTTTACGTTATTCACGTTATACAAAAAACAAAGCTGTTGCTGCAAGTACTATTCTGGCACAAACAATTGGTCATCCTGCAAACATAGATTCTGCTTCATCGGTTAATAAACAAGAAGCTGATTCTCTTATTGATTTGTCTGATGAAACTGATAATTTGGGGGAAAAAATGACAGAAATGGGTAGGTATTATATTTGTAATAAGTAAACTTATTATATTAAACCTTTTATATTAAATTGCAGATATAGCTGATAATATAGACAAAAATAGGATAGATCGAAAGGAGAAAAAGGAAGGTGATGAATTTGATATGTTTGCACAATCACGAAATACATCTTATGAAACTGCGAAAAACAGGTTTCTAATATTCAATTAATAATAATAATAATAATTATTATTATTTTATTATTGGATTAATAATATATGATAATATATTATATATTAATAATGTATAATAATAATACATAAATTAATAATATGTGATATATATCCCCCTATTTTTATTACAGCGGTAGCAAGTATGAGGATAATTTGGAGCAGGTGAGCGGAGGAAGTCTCAGTACAGCGATTCTCAATCGCAATAATCCTAAGCATTCCCAGCAGACTGCTTCTACAATTGCTTCTACTACTGCTACTTCTGTGCGTAATCCCTGTTCCTATACTAATTATTGCTAAGCATTTAGTAGATATCATGAATAATATAAGTATTAATTATTGAAAAGAGCAAGATTATTACAAATATTAAAATACTTTTCACAAATTTAATTACATATTATTGCAAAACTATATTTTTATAAGCAACATAGTTACGATTATATACAATGAGCTTAAAGTTACCTCCATAAAGGTAAGAATGTCATACTTACTACACTTAATGTTAAAACATTATATTCTCATTCATTAAGTAGATTTACTTAGAAGTTGCTTTCTTTTACTGCTTTCTATAGCATGAAGTAATTAATTTTCTCTTATGTTCCTTTTTGCTTTATTTTTGCCTACATATATGCATATGTTTAGATACTTACTTTACTTTTGTTTATTTTTATTTTTTGTTTTTTCTTTTAACATTCAGCTGAACCGGGAATCTGAGTTTAATGAGATGGCAGCTTGGTTAGATCATACGGTGAGTTATACATGGCAATGAGATTAGAAATATGTAATATAATCATTTAACACTTTTCTTCATAATATTTAATTCTCAATAAATTACTTTTAATTATAATTCATAGTTATTAAAACATTCTTTTTTTTCAGCCAGGAGCACATGGTGATCAAGAATCTCTAACATCTTCAGAATTCGAACGTTTCTTAGCAGAACGAGCAGCTGCTGCTGAAGCTTTACCAACTCTACCCACAACTACTACTGGGAGTACTATTAGTACTGGAAGTACTACAAATTCTGAAAACTCTAACATTCAACGCCAAATTAATAAAGATCAAGATAAATCTTTATTTGCTCTTTAAACGTAATTTTCACATTTACATTTTAGAAAACTGATGAAAATTGAATTTGTTCTAATTCGATCACTTTTCTAATAAATCAATGCTTCTAATAATAATCTGGATATTAGAAACATTGATAAAATAAATTAAAGAAAATAATATAAAGAGAAAAATAAATAAAAATGAAATGCTTTGCGCTTATATGTACTTAAGAATATAATTGATACTGGATGATCATAAATTAGCATTTTATTACGTTGTAAAAATTTGACAATGAATAATTTATTTTAAAATAATCGTTACGCGTCAATATTATGTAATACAGAAATAGGAGAAAATACTAACTTATGTTATTTGTATATAAAAAGCACATTGTATACAAAATAATATTCATATTACAATGTGTGGTCTCATGCCTTGGAACTATATAAAATTATTAATTTATGCAATTGCAGTTCTCAAATTCGCGAATTTAAATGCAAAAAATAAATATTTCATTATGCGATTAATTTTATTATGCTATAGATTGAAGTACTTGTCTATATTAAATTTGATCATTTGATATTCTGTATAAATATGATATGTTCATTGTAGTAATTTTTTGATTCTTATAAAGTATTATTATTATAGAATAATGTAAATTTATCAATAGTTGTTATAATTATGTATCGATATTACAGATAATTAATATATTCTAAAATTATATCATAGGAATATCATTGGTAATAAGGAACGTTATGTTTGTGATTTTAAACTATTGTTTTATTTCGAAGGCAAGCATATTGGGTACTTTAATAAGAATCGAGGTTCTTTATAGAATTTTAAAAACGTGATAAATCGCTATAAACTATGTTTAAATATTTGATTTTGTAAAGTTGTATCCTTCTACCAATGAATATTTTATTTTAATATCAAATAGTAAAATATTTTTACTAAAGATGTATTACTTTTAACAGATAGTGCAAGTTGTATAGCACTAAACATTAATTCTTTTATTCTAGAATATATAAAATGCTTAAAAATATTTCAAATAGATGTTTAAAACCAGGTAAAAGGAAAACTAAATTTGCTTATTTGTATAAATTGTATTTAATAGTTCTTACACCTAAACACCTGTAATCAATTTCTATGTGAGTAATAACGTAAAAAATTGTTCTTTTTTTTATGTGATCATTGCAATTATTATTGTTATGAAAAAGAATTAATTTTGTATTTTCAATAATTTCTTTATATTTTTAAAATTATAACTTTTTCGTTTTATAATAAACTTTTCTAATGTTCCAATATATTGATAATTGTATTGAAAAATTCTAATCCTTATAAAACTAATATAAAATTTCAATATATAATACTTTGATGATAATTATGAAAAATATGTCATGCTATTATTTATTTATTAAGATCTTTTGTAACGTAATTACATAAATTAGAATTTTATATTTATGTTAATATTAAAATTAAACATTAGATAGTATTTGTATCAATACTTGCATATTTTAGATTATTTTGATATTTGCAAAGAAATGATCAAATATAACATAATGACAAAGAAAATTATATAATTTGTAGGTTCTCTATTCTATTTGTTAAATAAATTTCTATTTTCGTTAATCAAAATTATACAATCACATGACTTGCTTTGTAATAAAGCAAATATTGATAAGTACTTAATAAATAAATTTTCTTTGTGAGTATATCAGATACAATATACATAAATTATTTCTTTCTATCGTTCATGATCATTGCATTCAAATTTTTTTTTATTAACCCATCGGTTTGAGTTAGGTTTCAGTTAGATATGAGTTAGGTTTATTCGTGAACATATGTACACATGTATATCACTGCGATACCACAAGTTAAGATCACGTGGTTCGCTCATCGTGTATTTCACGTTGATCATTTCAACCAGTGCGGTTGATCTAATCGGTACTAGTTTAAGTCACAGCGCACAATTTGCTTGATTGCATACTAAAATTTCAAGATTAATCTCGGATGATCTGGTATCACAAATATAGCTCGAAATTATTGTTGTGCTTTTCTCATAAGAAACATGTACACTGTATCAAAAGGACCTAGCAAGATAGTTGCTAAAACACGAAGAGGTACTGATACGAGAACAATTTTTAGCTGTATTTATAAACAATTGTAATATCAACTTTATTGAATATTATCATTCTTTAGGAATCAGTCAAAACCTTGAGAGGCTGGAAACTCTACGTGATTTAACGAGGAAAGCAGACCCTGACGATGACTACGAGACCACCCGGTAAATAATGCTTGTTCTCATCTTCGTTGCATTTCTCTCTCTTTTTGTAACTTCAGCATTTCGATATTACGCAATTCATAATTCTCATTGAAAGTAAGCACGTGTAATTCCTGTGTTATATTCTTAGTGACTTATCAATTATAATTTATAAAGTATTACATGCAATTATCATGTGCTTCAAAAATGTTAAATGATGTATTATGAATAGTGTTCTTCTTAATTTTAATATACACAGTAAAATATTTATTCCACAGCCATGTGCCTAAACCAGTTTTTCACATGAATGGGAAATCTAAATTCAATTCGCAGAGGCATCAAATGCAAGAAGTTATTACACCTCAACATGAAGAACTTATTAAATTTGTCTATGAATGTAGGTTGAAAATGTTTATTACTTGCTTATGAATGTTGTCCAGGTTTTTATTTTTTGTGCAAAAGAATATATTGTATATTTTTTATTTATTAGCATGGAACCAAGTCAGTACGCGGCAAAGAAGTGAATCTTCTGATGGTTCAGATTGTTCAGAACCTTCCAGTAAGTCTTTTAAAATTAATTAAGACAGACTATAAATTTTCTAGTTTTAAAATTTTTAAATATATATATATATAATTTATACAAATTCAACAAAAATTTAATTAAATATTTATAAATCAGTTAAAATGTTTTGTTAATTTCAGGTCCTAGTTCTATAGTATATTATAATGATGGTGAACCAAACGACACTCTTCAAGGTGAGTTACACTTAGCTTTTTTTTAAAAGAAATGTTATATAAATGTGGATTAAATAAATATATTATTTCAGACTTTAAACCATTTGATTTGGAATCATGGTGGGGTAAACGATTATTTAATAATATCACAAAATCACTTTGAAATAAAGAGAAATTTAAAAAAGTTATGAAGATAAATCTTGAAGTAGTACAGAATGACAAACAGTGCTAAAAGCCTGTTTTGGGTTTTAAAAGTAATCTAAGAATCAGTGAATAACTGTAGAAGAATTGAATCTGAAGACTAGAAATGAACCTAAGAGCTATCACAAAGTTATAATTGATGAATTTAATATAAAAATTAATAAATTTAATTGTGAACATGTATATTTCTGTTATAAAATATTAATTTTTTATCGCGTGTGCAGCTTTAAAGATAAATTCATGTATCAAAAATTTTAAACACATGTACGTAACAGCATTTTTCTAAATACTGTAATGGATTCTTGTTGGTAATGCATGGGTGAAATATATATTATCATCAACAGTATCCCTGAATATGTGATATAATAATGCACATAAATTGTATAATTCTGTTCAAAGCTGTTTCGAAATTAGTGTAAAAGTGTACAGAAATTTTATTTAAACTCAAAGGATAATGCAACCTTAAATCTACCGGTAAAAATTAATGTGATACAAAATACGATCGCTATTTTCGTTTGTAGGTTTTTAAAATAACGCAGATAAAGATATAACTTGTATATCTTGCGTGGTATGAATGCAGCGTGAAAATAATGAATTTTTAATCATAGAATGATGTACATATTACATGCATCGTTTGTGTGAATGCATGAATACATTGCCAATATTGTTATGACAATTGTATCTAAATACATTTACGTAAGCAAATTTTAGTATAACTTTGTAGACTGATAATGTTTAAGATTGTTATATGATTACTAGACAAGAGAAAACTTGTCACCAATGTATTTGCAAACTTTGCTTTCAAAGTTCTTATTTCATATTAATCTGAGTTAATCTCCTCTAATTTTTTTATTTTAACTAGTTGCATTAAAAAAACTGATTATCAAAGATTTTAATATGAGATCTTGATACTGTTGAAAAACAGAGTTTGCAAAAGTAGTCAAAATGTAGTGCAACATTTGGCCATTTAAGGCTGAATCAAGCAGTTATAAATAAATACATCTTTATACGTATTATCATTTTTTTCTTAGTCTTATTACATGAACTTTAAATTAAAGGGGTTTTAAATTTCATATTATTTATTTTTTTATATCATTTTATTTGAAAAATAAATTTATTATATATTTTATTTGAAAAAAAATAGGTCTTAATGTAAAATATAAAATAAGTTATGTATAAGTTTTTAAATTGCTTACGTTGAATTTATGAAGATTTATTTATTGTATATCAGAATAAATAGAATTTTGTTTATTATTGAACAATATGGGAACAAAGCTAAATAATATGAATGACTTTAATACCAAATTATATTGCAGTATCAAATAATTTTTTCATTCAAATAGCTTAAAACAGATATTATAGGAAAAGGAAGAAAATTACAGAGAAACAGAATTATCATCGTGTGTGTGTGCATATATACGTACATATGCATTCACTGACCTATCTATATAGAACGTTTGAAGTATTCCAGTTGTACCCATGAACGTTTTGATTGCCTATACAAGGGTTAAGTAACCTTTAAAATTTATAAATATAATTTATTTAAAACAAATTTTTTAAAATTATAAAGATAATATTTCTAATGTAGTATAACATATCTATCATAAATATTTGCATATGTAAGTAATATTTTTATGCAGAAGCATGTGTGAATCAAGGAAACAAGAATACTACTTTGATACAATAATAAATAAAAGTCTTATGGGAATGGCAAGAATACATAATAGTTTAATTGCATTGGAAGGTTGTAATGCAATCTTACGCAAAGATTATACAAATGTAATTGGAAAGGTGTGCAATTTATTATAATTAAATAAAAATATTTTACATGTAATATTATATGATATTGTAGTAATATGTAGGTGAAATTAATATCTGGTGGTACAGCTGAAGATGAATTAATATATCCAGGATGTGTAGGTCCTGGCATGTTAACAGCTGCAGTTTTGGGAAATATTTTGTCTGCACCTTCTGTTGATAATATATTAAGAGTTATTGAAAAAGTTGGAGCCAATGATACTTCAGGTAATAAAATATAATTTTATTTTATATAATTATTAATAGTTATAAATCATATTAGTGAATTGTATGATAATGATTAAATAAAATATTTATGTATAGGTATATTGTTAATTATTCAAAATTGTGCAGAATATTCTATAAACTTTACTCTGGCAAAATTATATGCTGAATTGAAAGGATATGTTGTTAAACTAATGACAATAAATAACAATATGTCGTACTTACATCTTGGTAATAGTATTAAACAACATAATTTTTTACCTACATTTTTTATATATAAAATAGCTGGAGCTATGGCAGAAGAAGGAAAAAATATAGATGAGATTTATTCATTTTGCAATTCTATTGCAAACAGTGGAGAGATGATATTTTTAAAAAAAGGTTATACAATTTTTGAAAAATTGAATTATATATTAATATAAATATAAAGAAAAAATATATTTTGCAGATGGTTGCATTGAAAATGTAATTCACGAAGATGATGAAGAAATGCTTTCAAATATAGTTAAACAAATGCTTGAACCATTGATAAATATATTAAATATGACATCACAAGATCAAACTAAAACGAAATCATTTTGTGTTGGTCATGAAATTGCAATTTTAATAAGCAACTTTGGTATTGTAAAATGACTCAACGTTCAAAAATTTTATTTGTCTTTGAAACTGTTGACTGTTACTTTGAAACATCTTTCATTTCTTAGGCTGTAATCAAATAAAAGAAAATATATTTATCTTAGAACTTTTGCATCAAATGGAAATAAATGGATTAAGAGTAAAAAGAATATACGTGAAAGAATTTATGAAAAGTTCAAATAGTGAATTTCACATTTGTTTATTAAATCTTTCACTCACTGCAATATTAACTAAATATTTGGATTTTCCAACATCTGCATTCACTTGGCCAATAGCAATAGAAACTAGAAAAGTAATAAAGTTCATAAAGTCATTTATTTCTCTGTTTTTCAAGTTGTATTGTATTTTTAACTTGAAATCTAAATTAACTTCTAGAGTGATGAAACAAAATTATTTACATTAAGAAAACATCATAAGGTAATTAAATTTTATTAATGTATTTATACTTGAGATTACAAGGAATCCAATACAATAAAATTTTAATACAGAATATAGACTGCAGTGTTTTAAATTTACAAGGACCAATAATGAATTATGAAACCAGTCAAGCATTTTTATCAATTATATCAATGGCATGTGAAGCAATATTAGCATGTGAAAAACAATTGAACAAAATGGACCAGAAAAAATATGGCAATGGAGATTATGGTACAAATCTTGCACGTGGAGCTGAAGCGATAAAAAATGCTATTCAGGTTGGTTATTAAATATTTAAAAATCAAAATGCATAATGAAATCATAAATGAAACTTTTTGCAGAAAAATGAAATATTGGGAACAAATTTATATGTAACATTTTCACAAATTAGTCATATCATTCATAAGACAGTAAGTGGTATACAAGGAGGATTATATTCTTTGTTTTTTTACTATGTTGCTCAGGTAATATATAATGCATTAATTAATTTTTTAACTACATATACAGTTAACTTTTTAAACACATTACATGTTTTAGACTTTTTCGAGATATCAAAGCGATCAGAAAATAACAGTAGATGTATGGTTACATGTGTTAACTACTGCAAATAAAGCAATTGAACCGTTTAAAGTATCTTTTGAAGGTGATCAAACTCTATTAACAACTTTAACAGCAGTACAGATAGATTTGCAAAATGCATTAAGCAAAAATGTGGATCCCATTGATGCATTTGGAATAGCCGTGAAAGCTGCTGAAAGCTTTACTACGAATGTTTTATATGGACAATCTTTTTATGTAAGGAATATGGAATACTACATTTTATTGTTATATAAATTTAATTTGCATCGATACGTCAAAAAAAGAAAAAATTTATTTACTACACATATATATTTTAGGAATTTGAATATCCTGATCCTCATGCACATTCAGTAGGTATATGGATGAGAGCTGCATATGAAGGCACTAAATTAAAATTAATTTATTACAATATAAAATAATAAATTTACAACAAACATCTAATTTGCCATAATTCGTGTTATGCAAAAATATACTGTATATGTATATATTAATAATAATATGTTTCATTTGTATTATTAGTTATATTAATTATTATATTAATATATTATATATTAAACATAAAAAAATTGTTATTTAATAATGTTATATATTATAATTTATACTAAGCGATTCATTATGCTATGTAAATATATTTTTGTTTTTACTTATATGCACGAGGTCATTAAAGGTATGAATGTATGCGTGAACACGCTTCGTATAAACGAATGATATACGTAAATGTATGTTCAGATACGTATAAAAGAGTATCATAATGTCACGTGTTCTTGGCTTCTCTTCATTTCTGTCTTATCACGTGAAAAAGCTGAAAAAAGTTAATTTTATTGTTTTCAAAACGTGAGCTAAAAATTGATAAATAATATACTTATATTGTATTTTATATCCGACATTATGAACAGAGGTTATGTTTAAAATTATAATTTCAACTTTTTAAATAATCAGATATGCATGATATTTAGTTATTTTACTTGAATATTACGAATATATTGCATTATTTATATATATATGTACGTATCAATAATACATAATAATATGTGCAATGATAAAAATGATAAAAATATAAAATTGCATACATAATAAATTTTATAACACTCATATAAAAAAGGAAGCAATATTAAAAATGAATGCTGTGATTGCTTTATGTATTTTCTGTGAATCACATGGACCTAAAGTGATATTTACAACTCAGACATATCGTAATTATGATAATCAAAGTACAGAGAAATTAAAATTTTATGGACCAAAAGAAATATTACGAAGAAGTCAAAGTGTTATGGAAGATGGACAATATGAATGTGAAGGATGTCAAAGTATTGGTAATGTGAAATATTTAAGTAATGAACATGAAACTAGGACATCATTTCTTTCTGCACAGCAATCATTAACTCAAGATGTTTGGTGCTTACTGAAGCATGCATGCTTTAGGTATAACGATCATAAACTCTTTCTTTATATTTTTTTATTCATATATTATGCATATCTTATATCTGTTTCGATTCTTTAAGGAGTTTAAGCTGTGAAGTACATCCTGGTAAAGAAGGTGTTTGCTACTTTGGAGATGAATATAGGGGGCATGTTTTAAGTCATACATTTACATTAAAAGATGCCCAGGTGAATTATGCAACGAAAAAGCATGTTTGGTAGCTATTACAATAAATTATTCAAATCATGTCATTAATTATATAATTTTAAATCTCTAGAAAGGAATTTAAAAAAGTATTCAGTAATACTGAGAAATCCTTTTTTTTTTTTTACAGGCAAGAGGTTTTCGTAAATGGTGCAGTTTTATTGTTTTCATGAGAGATAAACAATTTTTATTAAATATGTGGCCCTTTTTAGTAGATAATTTAAAAGAAGTAATTCGGGAATTACAAGATTTTGCTGAAAAAAAATATAATGCTGAAGAAGCAGAGTGTCCGCAGAGAATTGTTCGTTTATCAACAGCCAATGGATCAGGAGCATATAATAATTCAAATAAGCAGCCTCGAACGTTTAGTGATATAACCAACGAGAAACATGTTTTCATAAGGTTTGTTTTATAATTATGACATAACTTAAATAAAATAAAATATTAATAAATAATTATGTCAGAATCCACATGTGGTTGGTATGGATTCTTAGTGCTGGTGCAAGACATTTTATAGAAATTTTTCCCATGAGCTTATTAGATGCTGAATTAAATTATAATTTGGAGGATCAAATCGGTTAGTATCGTAAAAAAAGTACCATATTTATAGGGAATATTTATCTTTGAATATATCATATCAAATAGCATTTTCTGTTGTTCAGAAAATGAAGATGGATTTACTTTGGTAAATGCCAAATTACCTGTAAATTTAACTTTGAACTCAACTGAACCAGACATGCCACTCGAGTTCTCAGAAGTCTCGGGGAAATCTACTACAGTGATACTTAAGAATTTAAGAGCTGTATTAGGGAAAGATCAATTTAGGCAACTTTTATACTCTAGTTTAACGGGTGTTCAAATTTTGGTAAGAGGTCCAAATATTCAAAGATTGGAATCTTTATATGGTCTTAGTTCTCTTATTCCACGTGCATGTAGAAGAGTTAAGACTCAAGCCACAGAATATATGGATCCTAACAAGTGTAACTTTATTGGTATTTATGTTATTGTTATAAAACTATTAAAACATGGATATTAAATTAAATATTTTACAAATAATTAGATTAATTTCAGGTGTTGACACATCGGTAGCTGTTCCTTTGCCTTGTGCAAATGTATGTAGATTAGATATTGTTGCAGATGAACACAAAGTTGAAAATTCAAATTCACATATTGTTAGATGGACAGGAATATTGCCATTAAAGTTGCCAACTTTATTAATAAAAATTGAAAAGTCACTTGAGAATGAGAAACTTGGAAACTCTACTCTGAAAGCACATTTTGCTGCATTACAAGAAGAATGGGCAAAGTATAATTATATTGTGTACTTTGTATTAATATTTAATGATTATAAATTAAAACCATTTTTACTATAATTGTAGCATTGCCAAAGTAGTTCATGCCATGCGAGGACGTGGTCATAGTGGAGACCTTTCTGGGCTTATGCTTAGTTTAGGTGCTGGACCTCACGATAAAGAATTATTAGATACTTGGTCAATGGGTTTGCCACCAAATCCAGCGTAATTATTTAATTAATCTGTCATATTTTATACGTTGTAGAATATTGGGTAATATTTAATTTAATGTAATTAATATTTAATATATAAGATGTATTTTCTTTTATTTGTTCATGCAATATTTATGTATTTGAGGTTGTGCATAATTTTTTATTTATAATATAGTCAGCACATGACAAATATTGATATCAGCATAAAATAAATTGTTTTACATACATTTTTAGTAATTAAGATTTAATATATATTTTTGTAAAATCATATTTACAAGAAATTTTTTGTCTATATATATATATATATATATATATATATATATATATATATATATATATATATGTAATATACGAACACACGTCCTTATGCCCTTATATACACATACGTCCTTACATATGCATATACGTGCACACGTACCCATGTACGTGCATACGAAAATGTATATAACTTCAACATTTTGTTATTCGTGGGTTTGTCATAGAAATATTAAAAATCGACAACTAAAAAAATATTAGATTAATTGCTAATTGTTTAAATTATTCTTAATTGATTTTTCAATTGTATTTTAATTGTTACTGTGATTATTTAATTTTAATGAATATAATAATATATTAAATTCGTTGAAATGTGTATTGTAAATATTTAACAAAAGTGCTCTCTGAAATGGAAATTCAACCTCAACTGACGTATCGTCGCAAGTCATTTCAATTTAAAGATTTAAAAAAATTTGATATTTCTGAACAATATTTTGAACAACAATATTGCAACATTTATAAAGCAAGATTGAGAGTGCTGAAAGATTACCTTTTGGAGAAAGCAAAAATTAAATGGGGTAAATTCTGTTATAAAGATATTATTAAGTTTTAGGTTATATCTTTTAATATCTAATATTTTGTTATAGCACATAATCAAGTAATTACGTTGGCAGAACTTTCTGAAAGAAATAAAAGCGATACTTGTGTTATAATAGGCACTTTGTACAAACATCAAGAATTAAAACCATCGATATTACACGAACTCAGTAACGAACTTCAATTACAAGTCCAACCAGCTAGAATAAATTATGCATCATTCAAGGATATATTGTATTTGGAAGATGAAACATTACGTATTAAATTAATTGGAAATCATATAAATATTCAAAATGTAGTTACTGGTATTGTTTGTGCTGTATGTGGACATGAACTGGAGAATGGTGAATTCTTAGTAAATATTATCCTCTTTTATAAAATTTATTGTGTCATTAAAGCAAGAATTGTAATTTAAATTTAATTTGACAGGTTTTGTCTTCTTTCATTTTTTGATAAAATATATCGATTCCAGGTAATAGATTGGTGTTTACCAGGATGCTGTCCGAAATTATCAATTCTTGATCAGCTAGAAACACAAGGAAAGATTTTAATAATTTCAGGTCTAGATCTAGCAAATAATTTACAATTATTAAATATAAATCTATTATTTGAATGGATCACTGGAATGGTTGGTTGTGAAAAGGTTCATCAAGATGTGGCATCTATTGTGTGTGTTATTGTAGCAGGTATTTAATGTATATTAATCACAGTAATATTTACAATGAATAACAACCATATTAACAGGAAATAGTATAAGAGGATCTCTGGAGACACATAATTATAAAAAATATTTTGAAACAAAAGCTCATGATGAGGCTATATTTAAAGAGACTGCAAACATAACACATAAATTGGATAATTTGCTTTGTCCTGTTGTAAAATGTTGTCCTGTTATATTGATGCCTGGGGAATTTGATCCAACTTCTCATACATTACCTCAACAACCACTTCATCCATGTATTTTACCACAATGTTCTAGGTAATTTAAAACATATATTTATGACAAAATACTATAATATTATTAATATTCATATTATATAGGTTTAAAAGTTTTCACACAGTTACTAATCCATGGGTTGGTAGTATAAATTCTCGTATTGTAGCTGGATCCAGTGCCCAACCCATTACAGATATCATGAAAGTTGCTGGACTTGTTGATATTTCACCTTTAATGTGGTTAGAGCGTACATTACTTTGGCGACATTATGCACCAACTGCACCAGATACTATACCAACTTATCCATCTAACAATATTGATCCATTTATTATAACAGAGTGTCCTGATATATATTTTGTTGGTAATATGGATAAATATGATACCAAATTATTTACAGGTAAGTATGTTTTTTATTACTTCTTATTTCTATTTTTATGGTGAGGAAATAGTATTGGTAAAATAAAATATTTATCCACAGCAGATGAAGGACAAACAATAAGATTGATTTGTATCCCAAAATTTTCTAAGACACAAACAGGTGTGTTAGTTGATTTAGAGACTTTAGAAACCTGCCCTATTTCTTTCACTGCAAATTAATTTATTAAAATATTTAAATTATTTTAAGACTGTGACATTAGATAATGCAATATACAAGTTCATCTAAGAAAATAATTAATTTTCTTAAGTGATTATTACATAATTTGTATATAACAAATATTATTCTTCTAATAAAATGTATTTATTTGTGTACTTCTTTATATTTTTATATAGTTTTTACTTATGGAAGTAAAAAAAAAAACATGAAAATAAGTACATAAGTAAAATATATTTTTATTTACGTTTTTCATTTATACATAAATATATGAAAAATCAAATACTGTTTAACAAATTATAATATGTATTCTATAAATTGTTTATATTTGTTAACATTTATAGTGTTCTTAAATGTTCATACATACATAGTATAAGTATTCTTAATTATTATATTAACAGTATTTAATTCAATATGTGGAACAATATACCATGCAATTTAAATTATAAAACAATATAAATAAAATACTTTGGTATAATAATATTAATTTTTTTAATACTATAATGTATATTATATATAATAAGTACTATAATACTGCTTCCTTTTTATGAAAATATTTGGTACTATATCTTCAATAATACTGCTAAAATATAAATAAAATATAAACAATATATATAAATAAAACAATATATGAATAAAATATAAATAAAATATAAACAAATATAAACAAAATTAAATATATATATTAAATTGGAATTAGATATGAATTTATTAATTCTTTGATCTATTTTAAATTATATCAATATATTTAATGAGATATGAAAATAAACTCTGAATGAAAAAATTTACATAAAATAAAACTGAACAATTCTTTGATATTACCGTAATGTAAAATATTCTTTATTAATTCTGACACCTGCAGAGTTTATTTAAAATTGTTTCTTTATACGTGTGATTGATTTATATTTCAATAAATATTCATATTCTCCTAACTACAAGATTTTGAAGGTATTGGAATATTCATATTTAGACAAATATTTATGTTCTTAGATGATTCTTGAGATTCAGAAACTTCTGATTGTGGATCTGCTTTCTCTTCACTTCTCATAGCACATATCACATCTGTGAGAGCAACTATATAATTTTTTGCCAAAGTTAAAGTTTCAATTTTGGACAATCGTCTTTCCTTTGATACATGTGGAATTACCTCACGTAAAGACTACAAAATACAATCATTTATATTTTTCTATAGACAATTTTTGCTATAAATTACATCTACCTGAAAAGCATCATTTAAACTATGCATTCTCATTCTCTCTCTTTCATTACTTTCTAGTCTTCTAAGAGTTCTTTCTCTAGGTGTTGTCCGCTTAGATGAATTTGATAACTTTAATCCAGATTTTTCAGTTCGTTTACTGTTTCTGCGTACTATTTTATTACATGCCTGTGATTGTTGTTTAGGCCATTTTCCCTCCCAATTATTCCCGTTCATTATCTTGGATGTCATTCAGAATTGTCCTTTTTAAAAATATCACACATTATTTGTAGTACAAGATCAAATCTTAATTATTTTTTTCTTTTTTTCTTTTAATGATAAATGATTTAAATAATTAATTAATTAAGTTCCAAGGTTAATGATATAGATAAATAAATGTCCTTAATTAAAAAAAAAAGGAATAATATTTTTGATATGCAAATTCAATTGAAAATTTTAGTATTCAAAAATATGATTGAAATAATAGTTATATACTTACAATTTAGTAAGATAGTTTGTTTCACTATTAACAGATCAATGAAGAAATAAAGTATAATGAATATATTTAAATTTGTTAATATTTTTGAAACACGAGTTTCTCGTTCCCTTTTTTCAATATATTTATAAGCGAAATACGATTACGATTATATTATATTATACGGTACATTTTCAAATATTTGAATCAACTGTACACTGCCGCGTGTACTTGTTGAGCCACGTTGGAATGACGACTGACGTCGCGATGCCGGGGTGCGGCCGAAACAGCCTTCCACCCCCGGGAACTATGTGATCTACCCTGTGACCTTTTCTTAATAACTTTTCCATAAAACGTTGTTTATTTTCCGTAAATTTTCATTTATGTAACAAAAATTAATTTATCCCGTAATTGTATGAAAAAAAATGGTATTCTTATTTTTCTTATAATGGGAACGTACGTCGACAAAAGTAAAAATTAAATTATATTCTATGAAATTTTATTTATGACATGTTGCGTAAATAATAAATTAAAAATAACAATAACGTAACAAATTGTAGTGAGTAAATTCTTAATAATTTGTAAATTCTAGGATAGAAAAATTTATGCAAGAATATTTGTGTTACACACCTTTTGTACACATGCATAAAAGATTCTATATAGTTGTGCGGCTACAGGTGGGCGTATGACGTAATTCGCCCACGCGGCATTTCTATAATCACAATACTACTGATTGAAGTAGCATGAAATACATTTAAATGTATGTGTATTAATTTAAATTTTGTTGTGCAAATATATTAAAAACTATACAATAAATAGTCACTTTTGTTATTGATTATAATAAATTCATATAGGACCAAAATATAAGAAAAAACATTTATAAATTATTGAGGTTTCGATCTTATTACTATTCATTTTATGAATGATAGATGAAGGATAAAATTTTCGACAATGTTAAGTTAAATATAAATTAATTTTTATTATTTATGTTTTATCTTTACATTTACCACAACAAGTGTTAGTTTGTTTTTCTAATTCAGATTCTTTATAATTAGGAGTCCATGGTCCAAGACTAGCTGAAGCATAAAAATCCATAGGATATGGTTTATCATTGTTAAAATTTATCATTTTTAAAGCAACAGCTCCTTCATATGGGGTAAGAAAAGGTTTTTCAAAAGCTGTACCCCAGTCTATACTTAACCGCGGACACGCAATCTGTAATACAAAAATTATTTAATATACAGTCATTATAATTATGTGTTACATAATTAACAGAGAAAATTTTGTAAATAACCTGTATAAAAGCATCAATGCCTTTAAATAACTTAATTTTATCTGGAAATATTTCCGAGAGCAATATAATAATGTTTTCCTTGCCCAATAAATTAATTTTGGTTTCTAAATTTTTTAAAACATTGAGATTTCCTTGTCTACCTAAAGTACCAAGTATCAATCCAAATCTTCCCGTCTCTTTTGCATGTTCAATTGCTGCTAATCTAGTCTTTAGCATCTGTTCATGATCATAAAATTCTTCTGTCAATTTCTTCTCGTAGGGATCGTATCGAAATGCTCGTAATTTTGGATTAGCAATCATCGCTGCTTCTAAATGAAATCTACCATCTCCTACATAGATAATTGCATCAGCGCATCGAATCTGTGGCGCTGTACAACCTAAAATCTTTAAACAATGACAAGATTACAATACATGTACTTATATAATTTGAATTTAATCTAATAAGATACATAAATATCAATACCTCGCCAGGACTTAATGGTTTACTTTGTGGAGTAGATACTTCGTAACCATTTTTTCTCATTTCCATTGCAATTGCTTGTAACGTACCAGCAAACTGTATAGTGCTTACAAGCCCAATTTTTGTTGTAATTGGCAATGTAGCTCGTAAACATTCAATGCAATGAGATGTATCAATTTTTATGTTAACAAACACATAAAGTACTTTAATACCAACAGTCTGATCAATTGGTATTAAACACGAATGACCATAATGAATTAAGAAATCTGCAGCTAATGCTTTTGCAGTATAATCATCTACACAACATGCTCCTGCAACAGTTATGTTAATTTTAATTTAAAATTACATATACATATATAATATTCATTTCATATACATATGATAATATACATTAAATTAATATTTAAATTATATGTTTTTAGAATTACAAAATATCTTTTTCTTGTTATACACAAGCTATACACAGTAGCGTATTCCTTACCATAGGTAACATCTCCCATTATAATAGTGTCTGCATCTGTAAAACCTTCTATAATATCAGCTATAGTTGTGGCATACATTAAAAGCCCTTCAGGCATTTGCAATGCGACTCTTTTTGCTTTTGCTTCTTTAATTCTCCACACTGATTTATGTACTTCAAAATTGTAATTAGAAGGTAATGCAGCAATTGCTGCATTTAACAAAGGATCATTTAAGATTTCTTCAGGTATTTTATTCATTTTAACCGGGGCTTTGAATATTTTACGAACAGGCTTTGCTTTAACTATTACAACAGAATTACATTCTTCGTTCATGATTGTAATTTCTTTCAATAATATTATTAACCTTAAAATTTATGTCGACGATGTTTTTACTCAAAATGTTTAATACATTGATACATTACATGAACATAATTCATTTATTTTATATACAACATATATTATTCATTAAATGCAACATATATTATTAATTAAAAATTTTAATTTTTATTCATTTCTGTACAAATCTTAAAAATGAAAGGTTATAAAGTATCCTAACCTTTGAAATAGAACGAACTAGATGTTATGGTTGGTGGTGCTCTCTAGTTTGTACATAATGAATAACAGTATTTTATTTCTTTCAGTTTGCAACAAAAGAAAATAGACATTTTCCAAAAAATTAGTGCAAATAATAATTATTGTTATTGTTGCTATTACTCTGAATATTAAATAACATTATAATCAGTTATCTGAATTATTAATGAATATATCATTCATGTAATTATTATGAAACTTACTATTTTTTTTTTTTTTTTTTTTTTTTTTTTTTTTTT